AATCAAAACCCCCCCCAACAAACAAAGTCTGGGACCAGATGACTTCACTGGTGAATTCTACCAAACATTCAAAGAAGAATTAATACAAATCCTTCTCAAACTCTTCCAAAAAAATAGAAGAGCAGGGAACTCATAAACAAATTTTACAAGGTCAGCATTACCCTGATACCAAAACCAGGCAAAGGTGCCACAAGAAAAGAGAATTACTGGCCATTATCCCTGCTGAGCATAGATGCAAAAATCCTCAATAAAATGCTAACAAACCAAATTCAACAATACATTAAAAGGATCATATACCATGGATTAAGTGGGCTTTTTCCAGGAATGCAAGGATGGTTCAATGTCCGCAAATCAGTCAGTGTGAAACACCACATTAACAAAATGAAGGATAAAAATCATATGATTATTTCAATAGATACAGAAAAAGCATTTGACAAAATTCAGCATCCATTTATGATAAAAACTCTCAACAAAGTAGGTATAGAAGGAACACATCTCCACATAATAAAGGCCATATGTGACAAGTCCACAGCTAACATCATACTCAATGGTGAAAAGTTGAAAGCTTTTCCTCTAAAATCAGGAATAAGTTATGAATGCCCACTCTTGCACTTTTATTCAACATAGTATTGAAAGTCGTAGAAAAAGAAGTAAAAGTCATCCAAACTGTAAAGAAAGAAGTAACATTCACTATTTGCAGATGACATAATAATATATACAGGAAAACCCTAAAGAATACATCAAAAAGTTGTTAGAATAAACAAATTCAATAAAACTGTAGGATACAAAATTTATACTCAAAAACATGTTGCATTTTTATATACTAATGATGAGCTATCAGAAAGAGAATTAAAACAATCTCATTTACAATTACATAAAAAAGAATAAAATAGCCAGGAAAGAATTTAACCAAGGGGGTGAAAAACTTGTATATTAAAAATTACAAGGGGTGCCTAGGTGGCTCAGTTGTTAAGCTTCTGCCTTCGGCTCAGGTCATGATCCCAGGGTCCTGGGATTGAGCCCTGCATCAGGCTCCCTGCCCAGCGGGAAGCCTGCTTCTCTCTCTCCCACTGCTTCTGTTCCCTCTCTCACTGTCTCTCTCTTTCTCTGTCAAATAAATAAAATCTTAAAAAAAAAAAAACAACCCAAAAAACAAAAACAAAAAAACTACAAGACATTAATGCAAAAAATAGAAGACACAAATATATGGAAAAATATTTCATGCTCATGGATTGGAAGAATCAATATTATTAAAATGTCTATACTACCCAAAGCAATCTTAAGTTTCAGTGAAATCTCTACCAAAATTCCAGTGGCATTTTTCATGGAAAAAGAACAATCCTAAAAAAATAGAAAAAATCCTAAAATTTGTATGGAACAATAAAAAACCCTGAATAGCTAAAGCAATTTTTTGAAAGAAGAACAAAGCTGGAAACTTTGTTTCCCTAATTTCACACTCCCTGATTTCAAACTATTACAAATCTATAGTAATTAAAACAATATGGTATTGGCATTAAAAACAACACAGATCAATAGAACAGAATAGAGAGCCCAGAAATAAACCCACGCATATACGGTCAATTATAAAAGGAGCCAAGAATATATGATGGAGAAAGGACAGTCTCTTTAGTAAATGGTCTTAGGAAAATTGGACAGCCACATGCAAAAGAATGAAACGAGACCACTATCTTACAATATGTACAAAAATTAAATCAAAATGAATTAAATACTTGAATGTAAGACCTGAAACCATAAAATTGCTAGAAGCAAACATAGATGGTAAGATCCTTGACATAGGTCTTGGTGATGATTTTTTTTTTTTTTTAATAGAGAGTGCATGCGTGAACAGAGGGGTGGGGGGAGGGCTAGAGGGAGAGAGAGAATCTTAAGCAGGCTCCACACTTAGCGCAGAGCCCGTTACAGGGCTTGATCTCATGACCCTGAGTTCATGACCTGAGCCAAAATCAAGAGTCGCACACTTAACTGACTGAGCCACCCAGGCTCCCCTTAGCGATGATTTTTTGAATCTGACACCAAAAGCAAAAGCAACAAAAGCAAAATAATCAGGTGGGACTACATCAAACAAAAGCTTCTGCACAGCAAAGGAAATAATCAACAAAATGAAAGCTCAACCTACTGAATGGGACAGAATATTTGCAAATCATATCTCTAATAAGGGCCTGATATCCAAAATATATAAAGAACTCAAACAACTCAATAGTGAAAACCCAAAGAATCCAATTAAACAAATGGGCAGATGGTCTAGACATTTTTCCAAAGAAGACACACAGATGGCCAGTAGGTTCATGGAAAGGTGCTCAACATCACTAATCATCAGGGAAATGCAAATGAAAACCACAGGGCGCCATCATCTCACACCTGTTAGAATAACTGTTATCAAAAAGAGAAGAGATAAATGTTGGTGAGGACGTGGAGCAAAGGGAACCCTTATGCACCGTTGATGGGAATGTGAATTGGTGCAGTGTCTGTGGAAAACAGTATGGAGGATCCCCCCAAAATTAAAAATAGAGGTACGACATGATCTGGCAGTTCCACTTCTAGGTATTTATTTGAAGAAAATGAAAACACCAGGGGCGCCTGGGTGGCTCAGTCATTAAGCGTCTGCCTTCGGCTCAGGTCATGATCCCAGGGTCCTGGGATCGAGTCCCACATCGGGCTCCCTGCTTGGCAGGAAGCCTGCTTCTCCCTCTCCCACTCCCTCTGCTTGTGTTCCTGCTCTTGCTATCTCTCTGTCTGTCAAATAAATAAATAAAATCTTTAAAAAAAGAAAAAAGAAAAAAGAAAATGAAAACACTGATTCAAAAAGATATATGCACCCCTATGTTCGTTGCTGCATTATTTACAATGTGAGACATATAAGCAGCCAGTGTCCATTCTTGGATAAATAGATAAATGGATAAAGAAATTGGGGTATACCCCTCCCCTCACACACAGAATATTACTTAGCTATAAAAAAGACTGAAAATTTGCCATTTGTGATAACATGGACAGAACTTGAGAGTATTGTGCTAAGTGAAATAAGACAGAGAAAGACAAATACTGTTATGATCTCTCTTATATGTGGAATCTAGACAAAAAAATATAATTAAGCTCATAGATACAGAGAACAGATTGGTGGTTGCCAGAGGCAGGGGTTGGTGGGAGTAAGAGAAATGCGTCAACATTTTTTCTTTTTTATTTTAAATAAATTGAATAAAAACAACTATAATTTTATTGTTCAACAAACAAATATCACTTAAAAACTCCTTCAGATGCAGAGATTAATTAAATATGATTATTAAAATGTCAAAAGCAAATTCTAGTTCTATAAACTGGCATGAAATTTAACAAAATGTTAGTCTAATTATATTTAAGTGACATAAAAATATGTTTTTTGAATATTGCGTATTTATGTGGAAAAATCAAGAAATGGAGATTTAAGCAAACAAAAGGAAATAATAATCTCGCCAGAACCCCAACTCCCGAAGATCATAACAGTTTCAACTTAGAAGTATTCTTCCATGGGGTGCCTGGGTGGCGCAGTCCATTAAGTGACTGACTCTTGGTTTCTGCTCAGGTCATGATCTCAGGGTTGTGAGATTGAGCCCCATGTTGGGCTGTGTGCTCAGTGCAGTGTCTGCTTAAGTTTCTCTCTCTCCTCTCTCTCTGCCCATCCTGCTCATGTTTTTTCTCTCTCTCTCTCTCAAATTAAAAAAAAAAAGTATTCTTCCAGATTTTTGCCTGTGTGTGTAAATATTCAAAAGGAAATTTTTAAAAAAGATTTTATTTATTTATTTGTCGGAGAGAGAGAGCACAAGCAGGGGGAGGGGATGAGGGAGAAGCAGGCTCCCTGCTGAGCAAGGAGCCCAAGGTAGGACTCGATTCCAGGACCCTGGGATCATGACCTGAGCCGAAGGCAGATGCTTAACTGACTGAGGCACCCAGGCGTCCCCAAAAGGAAATATTTTAAATGTACAATTATACATGTAGACATATATACATACAAATATAAAACCTGCATTTTTTCCTTAACAATAGGATATAAACAGCTGTATACATCAGTACATATGCTTCTGTAACATCCATCTTTATAATAAAAAAAAGGTGAAGGGGCACCTGGGTGGTGCAGTCAGTTGAGGGACTGACTCTTGGTTTTGGCTCAGGTTGTGATCTCAGGGTCCTGGGACTTAGCCTGGGTCAGGCTTCACGTGCAGCATGGAGTCTGCTTTTCTCTTTCTCTCTCTCCCTCTGCCCCTTCCCCCTGCCCCCCTCACTTGCATGTGCTCTCTCTCTCTCTCTCAAATAAATAAATTAATTAAAAACATTAAAAAAGGAAGTGAAATTTGGGCATAGACACATAGAGAGGGAGGAAATGATGTGAAGATGCAGGCAGAGATTCAGGGATTGGAGTGATGCTTCTATAAACCAAGATTATAGGTTACCAAAGATTACCAGTAAACCACCAAAAGCTGGGGGACAGGCACAGAAGGAATTCTTCTTCACAGCCCTTATTCAGAAGGAACCAACTTTGCTGACACTTTGATCTCAAAGGTCTAGTCTCCACGACTGTGGGACAATAAATTGTTCAAACTAGCTAGTTGGTTTAAACTTTGTTAGGGCAGCCCTAATAAACTGATACAGATAGTTCTGCAGACTGATTGACATTGTGAAGCCTGATGAATTGTAGTCCTGTCTAGTGACCAGATTATCTGTAATCCCTAGATCTAGTCTTCGTCCCTTTGGCAGTACTAGAAAACTGCTCCCCAAATTTGGGCCTTTGGGTTTCCTTTTCCTAAATCCAAGAACATCTTCTTTGCTCCATTTATACTCTCTTTCTTCTCATGAGTTAGTACCATTTATTATATCTCAGTTCTCTTCATCATACTTGTTATGTCTCATAGTACACCTATGTTGCTCCTGCCAACTATTTATACATACACCCCAGACTAGTGAAGAAGGAGATTTATTTTTTTCTTAAATTTTATTTATTTATTTGACAGAGAGAGACACAACGAGAGAGGGAACACAGGCAGAGGGAGTGGGAGAGGGAGAAGCAGGTTTCCAGCGGAGCAGGGATCCCGATGTGGGGCTCGATCCCAGGACCCTAGGATCATGACCTGAGCCGAAGGCAGACGCTTAACGACTGAGCCACCTAGGTGCCCCGAAGAAGATTTATGATCCCTGCCCTTTGAAATTTTGATTTGTAAGTTTGTGGTTGGATCCAAGAACCATCATTCTTAATAAACACCACAGGTGCTGTTCACCTTATCGATTGTCTATTGATTCATATCGGTTTCTTTCTTAGAGCATAATTGAAATTCCAAACTTTGGAGACACCCAGCATAGTCCAACTTTGGTAGGTCCTACTCCTAACTTTATGGCCTTAGGCATTTCCCCCACTAAGAGTTCGGAAGTAGATGGGTGTCAGAACCAGTCTCATTGATTGACTGATTGATTGATTGATTCATTCGTTCAACAAAGTTTTTTGAGCACCTGCATCAGTGAAACAAATAGACATAAATCCCTTACATTCTAACTAGGAGGAAAGAGCCAGTAAATCGATAAATACACTAGGTGGGCAGTACTGTAGAAAAAAATAAGCTGGGTAGGGAGGTTGTGAGTGCAGAGTATATTGCGGTTTTCAGTGGGCCATCCTGGGTAGGCCTCATTGGCAGAGTGACTTGAAAGTGAGCCATGTGGCTCTCCAGAAGCTGAGTGTCCCAGGCAAAGAGGACAGCCAGTCTAATGTCCCTGATCAGAAGCTGAGCACACCTGGCATGAGAAAGGGAGTGGTGTGACAGGGGCTGAGGTCTGAAAGGGTACGGGGAGCCAGGTCATGCCCTTATAGGGCATTGCAAGGTCATTGGCTTGTACTCAAGTGAAATGGGGAGCCACTGGAAGATTCTGAGCAGTGACATGATCTGACTTACATTTTGAAAGTATCACCCAGGCTGCTGCAGGGGGAATAGGAGCAGAAACAGGCAGATGACTCTGGTAATACAGGTGAGATTGATGGCTGGGATTGGGGTGGTAGCGGTGGATGTGGGGAGAGGTGGTTGGATGCTGTATGTGTTTCGAAGGCAGAACCAATCATTTTCCGACTGATTAGATGTGAATGTTGGAGAAGAGAGATATCAATGAGGACTCTAATCGGGGTGAATCTTGGAATTTTTGCTTGGAATGCTGAGCAGAAGCATCCCCAAATAAGGAAGTGCATGGTCCACATGTTGCTGGCAGCCATCCTGTGTTCATGAGGAGATCCAACCTGAGAGTGGAGCCAATGCTGTGTTTGGTGGGGCAGAGTGGCAGGAAGAAACTGTCCTGAGGGCAGTGCTGAGCCAGAGTCCACACCTGAAGCCTGATCCACCTCTGCACTTCCAGTTTCAAGAGCCAATGAGTCCCCTTTGTTACTTTGTTATTTGCATCCCAAACTGCTGACTGGGAGATGTCTTTCAGATGCACTATGTGCCTAAAGGAACTTTTTACAGCCCTATCAGAGCTACCCTCCAGACCTCAGGGGTAACTTTGTCCAGATGTTCTCTCTCATGCCTCTCCCATCTCATTGGTCCCTTGGCACATTGTCATCCCCTTAAGATAAGGGTACTGACTCAGGAGCAGGCCCAGATGGACCTGGCATGGCAGAACGTCTGAAGTGATTAGCCCAACATCCCTGTTAGTAGTAGTAGTCTTAGCTGTGCCCGCATTTCACAGAGTTGAGAGTGGAGATTAGGGGACTTACCCAAGATCAAAAAGTTTTCTATTTCAAATCCAAGATTAGTTTGTCTAATTAGCCAGTCACAATCCATGTGTCACATAGAAGAGAGTAGAGCTTTTCAGGAGGAGGCCACCTGGGTGGTTGCTTCACTGATTGGCAGTATATTGGGACAGATACCACAGATCTGATACTTAGCTTTACAGATGCAGTAATTATTGGGCCCCTTCACTCAGGGTGATTAAGCTGAGAGGGATTAATTCATCATAGTCAAACTTACAAGAGACTGATGTATAAATCAGTTTGTCATGTTATTTATAATAGGAAGTGTTTTTCAGACTTGAACTTGTGGACCCTTGAATGTATCCCCATTTGAGAAGTATTGCTTTTATACTTACATTATGAGACTTTAGGTGATCACCTGATTGAAATAATCATAAAGGTAAATCCAGTCTGGGCATTGATATTACGTGGCATTACTCTGTAAAAAGGTGGTGATCCACGTGATGCTTGTGTTAAAATTTTTATGTATCTTTCAAATGAAAACACAGCATTTAAAGATTATCCTAAGGAATTCATGGACCTCTGAATATTTGATTAAAGACTCCAATATGAAAAACAATGCAATAGGAGAAAGGCTTTGTTTGAACATTGGGGCCAGTTATGTATACAGGATGCTCTAAAGCAAGTCTACTCAGGAAACCGGATTGTAGATCTGAAGACAGATTGTTGGGTGTAGAATAAGGGCAGAGGGAGCTGGCTGTTCTCAGGGAACACAGCCCTTAGACAAGGGGAGCTAGTTATCCTATCTGTACTTGTCCTACAAATACTTATGTTTAAGACTACCAGTCATGGAGAACAGAGTCCCATCTTTCTTGCATTGTGGCAGAGAAGCACTGACAAATTATTATTCACTAACTTCCTTTTCCTAGACTCATCTTGAATCCGTGAACCCTCCCTGCCAAAGCATCATCTCTAGGTAAATAGGAAGTGTGCTCTCTTCCTAACAAGGAAGGAGCTTGGACCAGATTGGTGGAATGCCAAAGCCCACGCATGCTCTTTTCAGTTAGCATGTAGCTAGTTTCTATCACTGAACTAAAATTATGAGGGACCCTTATATTCTATAGGAGACAGTAAAAGCAGCTTTTAAAAAAATCTTTTCCAGTGTAGTCTACAGCAGAATCTGAGAATCCATCATTCTTCTCAAATGACTTCACCCTGTGTTCTTCGCCTACTCCTATTTTAGATCTGCCTTTAACAAACCCTCCCCTTTCCCACCTCCAGCCTCAACTGAGGAACTGGGGAGCACTCACAGCGCATTGTCACATACTCCCTCCTAGCTTTGGAACCAGACTGGACTAGAGCCAGACTCAGCGCTGGGCTGCCTCCAAGCGGGCTAGAGAATGCATCCTGTTCCCAGACAGCCATTCCAAGGGCAGCGTTCAATCGCCAGTTCTTCCCTGGCCCATCAGAGCCCAGCAAGGGCATGTAATCCCTTAGGCCATTTGGCCGATGCCTGCCTGTTCTCTAGTAGGGTCAGAAGTAGGGGGAGGGGTGCCTGGGAGGCAATGAGAAATGAGAAGGCTCCCAGGGAGCAGTGCTCTGGAGTATTCAGTCCTTAACACTAAGCCAGTATCCCTTCTGGCTGGTCAGTGCCTAGGCCATACCAGTTGTTAAATATTTTGTATATCAGCCCTGCATCTAAGACAGGCAGCACTCAACCAAATGGCGTAGAAGAAACTGGATTCAAATGCATGGTACAGCAGTAAGACGTTCCCATTGTGTGTGAGGCCCGGGTTAGGTGTGTTGAGGCCAACACTAGAGGGCGGGGAAGTTGGGTGTTGCTGGAAGCTGGAAATCAGGGAATGATATCACCTTTCATTAATTACTTGCATAACCTTGGGCAAAAGAACACCTGGGTTCCAGTTCTGGTGATCGGATCCCGAGCAAATCACTTCATCTTGTCACAGTTAATTCATCTACACAATAGCAGGATGGTTGAGGTGATAGTGAGACACAGGGTTGCTTGGTGCAGGTAGGAAGTCAGGAATGCAGGCTTGAGAATGGATAGGGCAGGGATAGTGTTTATTTCTAGGCTGAGCCTTCCTATGGAAGAAAGCATCCATTTTCTTCCTGTGCTTTAACAGGATGTAGTTAGTGGTTCTAGACCAGGCTGTGGAGTTGAGCATCTGGCAAAAGATGGAAATCATAAACAGGTGTATTCAACGTCAACCTGATAATTTGCCCAAGAGTCTCAGTATTTTTGCGCCAAGCAGGATGTGTCTCTTGTCGGGTCAAATCATAATTAAACCATGCTTCTTTTTTCTTTGTAAAAACAATTTTTTCTTGTCATTTAAGTTCTTTCTTATTTCTCCTCTGAAAGGGCTCATGTCACGCAGCCACATGGGACATTGCCATCTGAGCATAGAGTAGGTTGGTTTAGTTGGTTTAGTTCACTATCACTGCTTTTAGTACTTGGTGTAACAAACAAAAAAAGAATCCTTTGTTGGTTATATTTTTTTCTGTGTAAGTAGAATTGCTTACTAGAAGAAAAGGAACTAGAACAACTGTTACTAAATGACCCAAAAGCAGAAGTTGAGTTCATTTCACATGAGTATTCAAGTGTTTCAGCCACGTACTCTGGTCTTGGCAGCTTGGAATTGGGGAAGGCCTGAACTGTGTCGTGCAAAGTCAGAAGTGAAGGTCTATGAGCCACCAGAGGAAAGTGGGCAGGAGGTAGACACGTGGAGGTAGTAGCGTTGGGGGTGAATCTCGGAGCAGAACCACTCAGCATGAGCCCCCCTCAGAAACCGAGTTATAATCACATAACAGACACACACTGCATACTTTCTAATTTCTCAGAACACGTGTTTCAGGAACTTTGTCGAAACTGGCTCTGTGCAAGACCAAACCCCTGACCGGCTGAACAGTAAGATAATTTTCTAGATTGGGGAGCCATTTGGCATCTGAAAGTCTTGAAAATACCCGTATTATGAAATAGCTTAGAGTCTGGGACAGAGGTTACGGTTTTAACAATATGCACTTAAATGTGAATTGTTATCATTGGTTGGACAGATATCAAATTTATCCAACACAGAGTTCCTAGCCTCTTTTATCCCCATAAAAGCCATAAATATAGTGCCAAGTGGGAAATAAAGGTTGCTGGGTGAGTGGTAAAACAGCCAATTGCTTCTCTGGCAAAGGGAATTTTCACAATTCGTTCATGTGCCGCTGAATTAACGCGAAGACTTGCTGTTGGCTATTAATTATCCCCTACACAAACTTGGTATCTGTTTTTCATCCTGATAAAAGAGCAGCTGTGATTGTAGTTCTTGGAGGAAGATGGTACCTGACAGAGAACAGCCCTGCCAGGTAGGGCCAGAGTTTCCACAGGGGGAGGTTTGTTACACAGAAAGGATTTGGGAGTGGTATTTTATCACATTCTACCTCAGAAAATTAAGTTTTCTGATTGCTTCTGTTGTTAAAACGCAAGTGTGGCAAATATGTGTAAGGCCCTCATTTCTGCGTACTCCGTGCCGAACCCACTGTGAGGTTCCCCCAAAGGAGAGGGCTCTGCCTTTGTTCTCAACATGTTTGCCATCTGGCTGGGGGGGGAGGGGAGGGACGGTTATAGCAATAGCTACCTACCTATGGTTCATGACTCTTATTAGCAAGACGATCCATCTAAATTTGACAAAGGCATTGCTCCAATTTGAGGGCTTTAAAAAAAAAAAAATCTCAGGCCAGTGAAGATTATTAAAAGCAATTGCAACCACTTGCTCAGACCGGGAACCAGTTTCTTTGACCCGGTGACCAAAGATTTTTAGAAGTAATTCTTTGTGTCGTGAGCCTGAGCTGCTTCTTTTCATAGTATCTCCATCTCCTAGCTTGCTTGTGATGAAGAGAGCTTGCACGCTTCCCTGCTGTCCTCTTCTTGCCAGAAACAATGAGGACACCATGGCCTGTCCAACTCTCTTGTCTGTTCAACTGAGACACAAGTCGGTGCTCAACTCTTTTTTGTTTTGTTTTTGTTTTTGTTTGCTTGTTTGGTTTTTGTTTTTCTGTGCTCAACTCTTACCTAGGTCACCAGTCAGAGCCCCCAGGTCCTCCCTAGTGGGTTCTTCAGTCACCGGCTGGTCTCAGAGTCTCTGGTCCCTCTACCTCCAGGTCCTCCCACACAACAGAGCCAGACTAATCGTTCTCAATGATGGCTTCCTCCTTATCAGGCCCCTCCTTAGGAATTTATTTAACCATCATGCACAGAACTGAATGCAAGCTCCTCACCCCAGAATTTTCAGCCTTCCTCAGCTCCACCGGGCTTGGATGATCTCAGTGCCTACTCCTTGCTACAGTGAGCACTGCTCCTCTCCAGTGTCTGCTCTTCTTTCCTCTTCCACTTTCTCGTTTTCCCTTTCCCCCACTTTGCTCTCTATCCTTGTACTGATCTCCTTGCCTTTGTTTGTACCGTTTCTCATTTTCTCAATAGACATGGAGCTTCTCCCTATACTGGGCAGTGTTTTGGGCCCTGGGGATACACACTCAGCAATTTGGATGACACCATCTCCTGTTTTCCCTCAGGCCAAGCACACACTGCCCTCAAGAGCCAATTCGAACCTCAGCATCCCAAAGGTCTCCTGACTGACTCTTTTGGACAATGAAGCCAGCCAAGTATAATGGTTAGGAGCAGAAGCTTGGGAATCAGATAAATCTCGGTTGGAATTTTTGCTCTGCAGCAAGCATGTGGCATACTAGGCAAGGTATGCAACCTATTTTTTTTTTTTTTTAAGATTTTATTTATGTATTTGAGAAAGAGAGAGAGAGAGCACGAGAAGGGGGAGGGTTGGAGGGAGAGGCAGACTCCCCGCTGAGCAAGGAGCCCAGGAAGGTGCTCGATTCCTGGATTCAGCCTAAGGCAGCTTAACCAACTGAGCCACCCAGGCGTCTCTGGTACACAACCTTTGCAAGCCTTCTAGTGCCTTGTCTATCAAGTGGGGATCGTAGTTCGTTGTGGGCTTGTCCAGAGAGTGGAGAAAGGGAGCGGTCCTTGGTGGTGTTGCCCTTATTATCTTTCTCTTCTCTCAAGCTTCGGCGGGCAAGTGGTGCCCGGTTCCTTAAGAACAAGTGAATATTGCTTGCAGTGCTTTTGTGTGTCTCATGAAACTCCTTCCTCGCTGAGCAGCACGTAACACGTGCGTGTGAATGTATGGACAGTCAGACCACACTTGGCTGGCTCGTCTCTTCTGCTGGATCCCCAGTTCCTCAGGGACATTGGCTTCTGGCTGTCTTTTTAGACGACCTCCCCTCATCATGACGGACTCTTTCTGTGAACTGAAAGCCATCGAGCGAGATGGAGGTCTCTTGTTTGATCTGAGGCTAATGGGAGAGGGAAACTTTTACAAACCGGAGGGTGCCTGAATTTCCAGCTAGTGTTAAGCGGCCATAACAAAGTATAACCCATGGCTTCAATTTGGTCTGTCAAAGATGGAATTAAAAGTAAATTTGAAGTTTCACAACATAGTTCTCTCTATTACGGGTGCTGCTGTGCATTAAAATCGTCTGTGTGAGGCTCATTGGGATGGGCAGAGATTCAATCACTGCTAATGGCTTAAGGAAATGGGGTGGTGAGAATTAGGGTCATCCATCCCAATTGGGGCAAGAAAGAGAAGCAGGAAATGTGTTTTTCAATCTTGACATCTTGCCAGCTGGAGCTAGAAGGAAATGTTTTTCTGAACTCATTGAGCAGCCTACTCACAAATCATAGAGATAGCGGCATTCAGTGAGAATAGATATAATTTTTATGTGGTCTAGCTAAAGACTTGCACCACCCACTCAGAGTTGTACAGAGCACTCCTTAGGGACCCTTGAAACTATACCACCCCAAGAGGTGGAAGCCCACTTTAGCAAATGCCATAACTGGCCTTATGCAATGGGGCTACTGACATATTTCCCAGTAACAGGAATTTATTATAAGAGAAATACAATATGCATATTTAACCATCAATAGGTGGCTAAGATTTCATTTAGTTGGTATAATATTTAGGTGTGGTATCTGGTTTTGCATATTGATGTTAAATAGTCTTAAAAAGAATGAATATTCTGAACAGGTTACAAACCAACTTTGTCGTCTTTTTTTTACATGATCTCATCTGGTTCTTA